GGTTAATCTTACAGTCCAGAAACAGAGGACCCTAGGACCATGAAGGGAGAAGAGCACAAGCAGAATGCGGGACCTTATCTAGAGAAGCAGCGATGGCAGAGACAGAGGTAGAGATGGGGTCATGGAGACTGAGAGTGGCTGAGGACTCTAGATTCATGGGAAAAGAGGGACTAAGAGCCGGTGTCCAGGAGGTAGATTTGCATAGTATGCCCTTTGGAGGTGTAAATTATTATGTATGACTGAGTGGTTTTGTTTTTGTTTTTTTAAAAAAAAGCTAAAGTGGATAGAGAGAAGTACTGGTAACTGATGGTACATGGAGGGGATGATAATCATTGTGATGGAACAAGGTGTATGATTTGTTGAATGTAAAACTGATGATATACCCTGTAAACTTTCACTTGATCCACAGTAAAAACCTTTTAAAAAAAAAAAAAAAATCTGCTAAACTAGGGTCTTTAAAGTGTTGAAGAGCAAAGATGTCAGTTTGAGGACTAAGGTGCACCTGACTCAAGCCATGGTATTTTCAGTAACCTCATATGCATGGGAAAGCTGGGCAGTGAATATGGAAGATTGTAGAGGAATTGATGCCTTTCAGTTATGGTGTTGGAGGAGAATATTGAAAGTGCTGTGGACTCCTGGAGGAACAAACAGATCTGTGTGGGACAAGTGCCAGCAGTATGCTGTTTAGAAGCCAGACTGGCTGGACTTGGTCTTTCATACTTCGGACCCGTTATCAAAAGGGCTCAGTCCCTGCCAAAAGACATCATTCTTTCTAAAGTGGAGGGTCGGCGAAAAAGAGAAAGACCCCCAACGAGATGGGTTGGCACAGTGGCAGCAGCAACGGGCTCAAGCGTAGCAGTTGTGAGATGGTACAGGATTTGGCCGTGTTTCATTCTGTTGTGCATAAAGTCTATGAATCAGAACTGACTGGACAGCACCTAACACCACCAACAAAGGGACTGCCAGCAAAAGGAACTTGGAACCAGTGCAGGCTGACTGATCCTTAGAAGGGAGGATGACAAGACTTCAGCCCAGGTACTTTGGATATGTTGTCAAAAGGAACCAGTCCTTGGAGAAGGACATCATGCTGGGTAAAGTAGAGGGTCAGTGGAAAAGAGGAGCAAGATGGGCTGCCACACTTGGCTCAGACACAGCAGTGATTGTGTAGATGGTGTAGGGCCAGACCGTGTTTTGTTGTGTTGGACTTCGTGTCTTTACAAGTTAGAATTGACTTGGTGGCACCTAACAATCACAGCTTTGTCTAAAATCACAGAAACCATCTCAAACTCTAGAGCAAGAACAAAAGAAACAAAAGTCGACCACGTCTGTGACTAGATATGTGTGCAGGGTCTGGGCTGTGGGGTCTTTCTAGACTAGATGTGTGTGGAAGGTCTATGTTGGGGGTCCTTTCTAGACTTGAGCCTGGACAAGTGAGAACATGATCTCTTTAGTAGCTCACGTGTCTCGAGTCGTTCTATAGGGACACCAGGTCTCTGCGAAGCTCTTAGAACAAACACTCATGGCCCCGTACATGTGGAATCACTTGGGACTGTGTTCAATGGGGACACTTAGTTTATCCTGGCCTGTTAAAGACCAAGTAGTCCTGAGAAATTCATACAGTTTAAAACAAAACAAAGAAACAAAACCTTTCCCAGAAACATTTGACAGCTTGGCTTCACAGTTGTTCACATCTGTGTCGTGGAAGGTAGGCTTGGTGTCGTGTGACCAGGTACGGAGAACAAACAGTACCCGGTGATATGATAGGAAATGTTTGTGATTAAAAACCTGAAATTAGAGCATGGTGTATATGTGGAATTGCCCTTCTTAATAGTCATCCCAGCCATCGAGGCTCTCTGTCCATCAGAAAATGCAGCATTTCAGGAGCTCATTAGGACCCGGGCTGCTGAGTTCTACAATAGACATGCCCAGAGTGAAACTTTTAAAGTTCTTGGTTATAACCTATCATGGAGCTCTCAAATCAATGAGACAAAGACAAGTATAGAATCAGAATCATGTCTAGTAAGTGTAATGTTTTGTGACACTTTTGCTTTAGATATGTAAATTTGTGTCTATAAACCTGTTTCTTACTGTAGGTTCTGATAAAAATAATAAGGTAGAGAAATAGAGCTATGAAGTCTGATGGGAAAATAAGGAATACTGGTAGCCACAGGTGGACGTTGTTGCGTGTTCGTGCAAGCCAGGCAGCCCTGGGTATCTCTCCTACGTTGTCCCACCACGTGCGCTGCAGAGCTCCGACTGCTTCATGTCCCTGACCAGGAATTGGGTGTCTAGACGTGAACTCACCTGCAGTGGAGCCTGACTCTGCTCCTCACAGGGAAGAAAGTATTCATCCCCTTCTCATCCTCCATGGCCTCTGTCAAGCTGCAACAAGGAGGATGTCTGCTGCCCACAGACAATTGTGGAGAGAGGCTGAGGCTCTCCACGAGTCTCGGTGTGGCAGATGGAGAGTGAGCAGCAGGAAACACGGAGCATCCCTTGCTCTGCAGGCCGGACGACAGTCCCACAAGGGCATTGATTTGGGCTCACAGGTTATGGAGAACCCTGAACTGGAATGGTGAGGGGAAGTAGGTCTTAGGAAGAGAGTGGGCTGGAGAGAGTGGAGGCAGGTCAGTGCACCCCGCCAGTCTTGGGCTGGGAGATCAGTGCTCCTGTCTGACCATACTCTGTGTGTGTGGTCGTGTTGAGTCGGTTCTGACCCATAGCAACCCTCTAGAGGGTTTCCAAGGAGCAACTGGTGAGCCTGAACCGCCAACTTTGTAGTTCAAACTGACTTTGCAGTCTAGCGCATTAACCCACAGTGTCACACCAGGACTCCTGTGTGTTGTGTAGTGTGTGGTATACTGTACAGTTAGGGCACTGTGATGGGCTTTAAGTCACCTGCTGTGCATCAGACTAGATGCATCAGGGATCTTATTAGCATGGATTCTTAACGCCTGCTGCTCTGCTTGTATTACTGGAAATGAACTTGATAGTGGTGATGGGGCTAATGACTTTGCACTTCCCGCTGCAGATACCACTTCTAAGCAGGGACCCATTGAAGCCATTCAGAAGTCAGTTCGACTGTTTGAAGAAAAGAGGTATCGTGAAATGAGGAGAAAGAATATCATTGGCCAAGTGTGTGATACCCCAAAGTCCTACGATAATGTTATGCACGTTGGTTTGAGGAAGGTCACCTTCAAATGGCAGCGAGGAAACAAAATCGGTAAGGAAATGGCAGACCTGAAGCAGAGATGGTCAAATCCTGTATACCTGGCAAATATGAGATTGTTGTTGTTAAGTGCTGTCAACCCAGTTTTGACTCTTAGTGACCCCGTATAGGGTTTCTAAGGAGCGACTGGTGAGTTTGAACCACTGACCTTCAGATCAAACCAACCTTGAGGTTGAGTGCTTATCCTATAGTGTCACTCTTGTTGCAAACAATGTTATCTTTTTTCAGAGGGCTCTAGTTTGGGTTAACTTGTAAAATGTATTCTAAGAGCAATAAAAAGTGAGATTTGTCTAAGGGAGATGTGTAACTAGTTCACAAAGGTGCGTACTTTGGATCGACAGCTCTGGAGCATGGAGTGCTGCGGAATGCACTCCTTTCCCCACGAGAACACGCTTCCCAGAGAGGCAACTGCAGCGGTGACGGCAAAGCCTCCCAGCTGAACCGGCTTGTGAGAGAGCAGGCCTGTCTCCATCCCGTCTAAATGCTCTCACCTCGCCACACTGAGGCCTGATAGGCAAACTCAGCTGAAAGTAGGGCCCTGTAACCTCCAGAGGGTCATGGTCGGCCTCATCAGAGAGTGCAGGGGAACCCTGGAGACAGCCAAGTCCTGTCAGCATTGGGCTCCTTGTGGCTGCCCGTCTTCCTCAGGCAGTCTTTCCTCAGTGAAAAGTCCCCAAAACTTAGTGCTTGCCCAGTCTACCCACTCCTGGACAGGTAGGTGTGAGGCGCAGACTGACCCTGACACCACACCCACTTCACACACCCACACACTTCTCATCCACACACACTTCACACACTCCACACCACACACTTCATACGCACTCCACACCACATCCCACACCTCTCACCCACACACACACACCACACTACACCACAGACCTCTCACCCCCACACACTTCTCACCCCCACACACTTCACATACACACCACACACCTCTCACCCACACACACCACACCATACCACACACCACACTACACCACAGACCTCTCACCCCCACACACTTCACATCCACACCACAGACCTCTCACCCACACGCACTTCACACGACCACACACCTCTCACCCACACACACACACCACACTACACCACAGACCTCTCACCCACACACACTTCACACCCACACACACCACACCACACACTTCACACACACTTCACATACACACCGCATCACACACTTCTCACACATATACACCATGCCACAGCTCACACTGTTCACCCACACACTTCATGCACACCACACCACCACACACTTCACATACACTGCACATACATCACACACTACACCACACACACTGTCAGCCCTAACACCACACATATGCATGTGTACACACACACCCCGACCTCGGAGCCCAAGGACTCAGGTGCGCTGCTCACTACGCCCCTGCACCAAGGTCACTTGCCTTCTGTGTGAAGATATTTTCAGGTAAACTGTAGCAACACCAGGTGGTGCTGTGGTTTAGGTGTTGGACTGCTAACCACAAGGTCAACAGTTTAAACCCAGCAACCACCATGGGTGGAAAATGAGACTGTCTACTCCCATAAAGATTTATAGTTTCAGAAACCCTGTAAAGTCAGAGTGCAGTAACTGTAAGATAAGCACTGGACTGCAAGCCCCAAGGTCTTCAGTGAGCCCACCAGCTGCTCTAAGAGAGAATGAGGCTCTCTGCTCCCAACATTGGGACCCTATACAGGGCCGTTCTGAGTCAGAACTCACTCGACGTCATCCAGCGAGTCTGAATGGACTCGGTGTCAGTGGGTTGGGTTGAAAAGCTTGTCTGGGACTTGACTTGGCAGTAGTGTGTGTAACAAACATGACTGGAGCACATCCGTGCTCGTGATAGTGTTCCTGTGAGCTGATGGCACCTGCAGCACCCTACCCCCAGCAGTGACTGGAGCGACCTCTTGTGTCCTGTCCACAGGGGAAGGGCAGTACGGGAAGGTCTACACCTGCATCAGCGTCGACACTGGGGAACTGATGGCTATGAAGGAGGTAAGTCATCCTGCTGGCCCGTCCAGGAGGGCGGTTTGGGTTGAATCTGCTCTTGACATGACAGAGATTTGGTTAAGATGTGGGGATGGGTCCCATTCACCTCAGTGCGCCCAGCTGGCTTAGTGCTGAGCGGTCCAGGCTCGGTCCCACTTGTCAGCATGTGGGCAGACAGGACCTGCCAGGTGCATGTCAGGCAGCTACTGTGTGGGGACAAGCTGGTGGCACAGCAGGGGAAGTGCTGGGCTCCTAACCGCCAGGTCAGTGGTTTAAACTTAGCCGCCACTCTGCTTCCCTAGAGATGGCAGTCCTGGAGGCGCCCTGCGGCTGGTGCTCTGCCCTACAGCGTTACTGGGAGTGGGAAGCGACTAGAAGGCAGTGGGGTTTGTGCACTGTGAAAGATAAAGGGTTCGCTGCTCCTGTGAGGATGGTAGCACCAGGAACACAGGTGTTCTCACACAACACAGTTATGGTGTCTGCTTGCGAGGGGTAGACAGGAATGGAAGGACAAGGGCTGGGGGGGCAGAGCGTATCTGTAGAGAAGAGCAGGGCTGAGGCAGGGAGGCGGGCTGCTGTGGCCCCTGGGGAGCACCTGGTGGAGGAAGTGGAGCTAGCAACTCAGCACTGGGTCTCCCTCTGTGGTCCTCCTCTGGGCCCGCTGCAGGAAGGCTGCACACGTGTGAGGTAGAGTCACACCTTCTCTTGCCCAGAACCTAAATGTTTAATGCATCTGGTCCTTTCCTTTTGGGTTGGGAAAATGACTCTAGTCACAGTTGTCTCACCACTGTTCCTGTGGAACCCCACGGCACCGAGAACCTGGGAGTGCAGTCCCAAGCTCAGTGCACGATGGTGATGTCAGAATGGTCCGCCCTGGTACGTGGCCTGGTGCTCGAGTTTGGGCAGTACCAACAGTAATCAACCCTTCCCCACAGATTCGATTTCAGCCCAACGACCACAAAACCATCAAGGAAACGGCCGACGAGTTGAAAATCTTTGAAGGCATCAAGCATCCCAATCTAGTTCGCTATTTTGGTGTGGAGCTGCATAGAGTAAGCCCCCTGTGATCCTACTGCTGGGTGTGAGGGACCGGTGAGGGCAGACAGCAGAGTCCTGGTGGACATTCCAGGCCTTTTCATTACCCAGCTCTGTAACTGCCTGATTCTCAGGACATCTCCATGTGTTACGCCATTTCTGCCTACTCTGTGAAACTAGCGGAGTTCCTCCTGAAATGGAAGGTGTGGGCTGTAGCCATTATCTACGGAAAGCACTGCCAACCAGGAGTCTTCCCAGAGCTCCCTCACGCAGCCTCTGTCTGCCTGCCCCTCGCTTCTTGTTTTACTGAGGCACCATTGAGGAGTACGTGGATCTCTGTGAAATGAGAGACAGTGGGAACCGCACGGTCATCTCCCCCATTCTGTTTAGAAATAGTCACTTTGAGGGAAGCAAAGAACTGACGCCTCATGGTTGAAAGCCTGAGCTTCCAGGAGAAGTTTGCTGTTGATGTTTCTAACTATTTTTTACAAAAACCCTCCTGATTGAAAGGGTGCCTGCGTTTTCAGGGACAGTGCTGTTGCTCCTTTTCTGAGGTTGCGTGACAGACTGGGTTACCGAGGTGTCCCCTGTGGCCTGGCGGGGATTTCCTGTCCTGTCCTGCTGAGTAACCCAGGCAGAGCGGGAGGGCAGACATCACCATAGACAGACAGGAGCACGCAGTCTTCGTAGGAAAGAGGGTTCCTAGGGGCGTGGCCTGTGCCCTTTCCCTGGTTGTCACTCAGCATGTGTGGAAGGAAAGCAGTAAGCACGGCCATGTCTTGTTCCCCCCTCAGGAAGAGATGTACATCTTCATGGAATATTGTGACGAGGGCACACTGGAGGAGGTGTCGCGGCTGGGCCTTCAGGAGCACGTCATCCGCCTGTACTCCAAGCAGATCACCATAGCCATCAATGTGCTCCACGAGCACGGCATAGTTCACCGGGACATCAAAGGTAGCCAGCCCCAGGCCCACCCGGAGCGCTGGAGCTCGGGGCCATGGGAGCCCCTGCCTTCAAATGCCCTGTTACACAGAGCACA